TGATCCCAGAGGTTTTTGGCAGACCTGGAAAGGTAGCAGAATTAATCAGCTTTGGGACTGTGACAACAGAAAACAATGAACAAAAGACACAGACAGCCCATTGTTATGGAAACCACTTGGTGCTTCTGTGAAGGAGCTTTAGGATCACCCAGCTGATTCCACTGGGTTCACACCTGCTTACAGGTATGTCAAAAGAGCTTATGTTAAAAGCACCACGCCAGAGCATCTAGACAAAGGTCATGGCAGTCTTCCAAATTCACTTGCTCCCAGTTTGGTGTGTCTCTGTCTCTCTTGGAGCGACAGGTACTTCACACCACACTGCACCTGCACACAGAGACCTCTGCACTAACTTGGCACATGATGCTCTGGGTACCAGAATTCACCTGATGGGGAAAGTAGCCCCTATTTGTCTGTTCTGATCTCCATGGAGGCATCCCAGCCCTGCCACAATGAGGATCCTCAAGCTCTTAAAATAATCTCTGGCTGCATAGCCCTGGATAACACTGTGCTAATCCCAGGTGGTGTTGAGGCAGCACATATTCACCTGGTTCAGCCTGTGCTGCACAGCCCCACGACAGGGCTTTGCACAGAGAGCTGGCATCTACCTGCATGGAGCACTGGAGATATCCACGTGCATCCCCTTTCTCTAAAGGTACTTCAGTGCATCTTACCCGACTCCACAGAGAGCGTTGAGATCCCGAGCGATTCGTGGGTACTTTCAGAGAGAAGATAAAAACTTGGGATTAGTCAACACTAATGTGGCTGAAATAGCTGGCTACCATCTGACTGCGTTTTGGGCACACTTCTCATCCTAGCAGAACTGCCTCTGAAGAACAGGCAGCATTTCCAACACAGTGGTTTTACTCCTCCATTAATTTTTATATATATATATAAATTAATATTTAATCACAACAGCCCGTGCCAACAAGGTTCTAGACCACACTGCTATCCCTGGAAAGCAGCTTCTGGATGTGAGGATGCTGTTCAGACCCTTGCTAGTGATATCCATTTTCTTGGAGCCCATTGCTGGGATGAGCTGTACGGCTCATAGCTTCCTGGGAATTAATCATATTTCGACCTCCTCACGCAAAACTCCCACAAAAGGTTGTCAGACCCACCTTATAAATTCAGCCTGGGTTCAGGGACTAATTGTATTTAAAACTATGAAGCCCATCAGGGAATTAACAAGAAGCAGTAAAGCACTCCCAGAGAGGAGCAGCCTACCTCCCTGCACACAGAAACTTCCCCACCTTGCAGGTTTCCTCTAACACAGCCGAGGTGTCCACACACTTACTATGGGTTTCAAAATGATAGCCAAGATCCTTTTCACCAGAGCAGGAAGCCTGTAAGTATTGTACTGGGATTTCAGGTTGGGATCCACGATGTCTCCTTTGCTGGAAGAGCAGAAAGTGAAGGAGAAGTCAGGACAAGCCACCTGTGTCAGAGCTACAGCAACAGCAGTGCTGTTTCCAAAGCAGGGTTTTGTCCTGGAGGGGTTGCTAGAAGACAAAATCTGCCTGTTTCCATCCAAAACACTGAGCAAGAGTTGCTCACGTGGGGTTTAGATGCTCAGGAGTAAATGCTCACTGCAAAAGTTATAGAGAAATAAATACTTTACTGCCTATGTTGTCAGTGCTGTAAAAGCTCTGGAGTGCTTTGCAGAGGTGGGACCACATACAGCCCTGGGCATGAAGAGGGCTGGGTAGGTGTTTGGCTGCTAGCCAGGGCTACCCCACCATCACCTCCACAGGAAGTTCTCTAATGTGTGATGGTTCCCATGTGTCATGGACAAATCCCACACATAAAACCAGTTGCCACAGCACTGCTGACACATGGTATCTCATTACCCTACCCCGCTATCCGTGTGCGTGAACTTCTCTTGTGAACTAGCTGCTGCTCATGCTAAATTCATCCTTCCAGAAATTGCTCCTCTGCTGCTCATTATTCAGTTTGCGACCTCAAGAATATAAACACTCTGGATGCAGCACACACAGGCTATACAGTCCCAAGTCTCATGGCCCACACTGAAATGGGGGTTTTACTCACAAGCAGTCCACCATGTGAGCAGCACCATCCGAGAAAATCCCTCTGGTGAACAGCTCATCTACCACGTAGTCAATCTTGGGCGGCGCAAAGGGAACAAGCTGCAAGAAAACCATCCCCATTCAAGAGGCAACCAAGATGAATGATTCATGGAGCTGTCAGTGAACCTTCCTGTCTCCCCAGGAGATGAGTGGGAAGTGGTGGGAAGCTTATTCCCTCCTGGCTGCTGTAGGGCAGCAAGACCCCATTTTCAAAGGGACCTGGGTTAGTGGCATCTGCCCACTGTCCTTGCCACTCTCCAAGGCATTAGCACATATTGTGGCCTGGCGCAGGCTCCACTCCTCCACACGTCAGAGAAGAATTTTTAGAGGCTTCAAAACACCAAGTATTTTTAATGTATTTGCATCATTGGAACAGCTCCCATATAGAAATTCCAGTTGGTGGAACCACAGAATAATTTAGACTAGAAGGAGTCCCTGAGGGGGATGCTCCAACCCCCTTCCCACTTACCCACCAAGAAATCTGTAAACTGCATTTAACAGCTGAGGGATGGTGGAAACTGCTGTGAGTTTGATATTTATGAGAACATCAAACATGATGGAAAAACCCAGTGCTTTACAAAAGGGTGACTTGGAGATATCTGAAGGTGATTCTCCTGTCTGCTAGGCCAGGAACATAAGCAAGATCACTTCAGTTTGGGAAACAAACTCTTGCATGTGCCTTCCTCTTTGGGATCCTTGCAGCAGGAACAGATGATCCCTGTTTTATGGGTAGCAAAAGTAGACACAGGAAGTGGCTTGTCCAAACTCTGTAAGGAGCAGGATAACAGCGCCAGGCAACCACCAGCATGAAAACCCACCGTATGCCCTGCATCCTGGAGGAGCTTTCTTGTCTGCTGGACGGCCCGTTTCATGCTGGGTGAGGGCTGGAAGTAGCCATCTCCTTCATAATATCCAATCCGAAGTGGCTTTGAACTGGTGTAAACCTGTGAGAAGAGGACATCACTTGCAGACATGAGACTTGCAAGACTGAACCATTCCCAGGGCTCAGAGAGGCAGCAGCTGAGTTCTCCTGGATTGGAGGAATGATGGGGGCAATAGAGCCAACAGGGGGCTGCCAACCCTGCTGTGTGTCTGCTTCTTGTGGTTGCTCATGCTGGGTGTCCTCTGTTCAGAGGGACACTTCCTTCCCTGGGTCCTTCATTATCTTGAGACGTGAAACCAGATAGGAATCTCCACAGATCTCACTTTTTTGCTGGGTAAATGGAGGCACCGGGTTGCCTCTGAGCCTTACCTCCTCATCAAAGGGGAGGGGGGGCACAGTGGGGTCCAGCCGGAACATCTCCTCGCAGAGCAGTGCCCTCATGCAGAGGGCCAGGCTGTCCACATCTCTAGCCATCGGCCCCAGCATCCCCGTCACTGCAAGCACAAAGGTCCTGTCACCATAGGCAGATGGGCTGGTGATATCTCATAGCTACTGGTAGGGACCCAGCAAGGGAGAGTTTCAGTCAGACCAGGGAAGAGGAATAGGGAACGAGTGTAAGTGCAAGAAATGAGCGAGGAGGTCTGTAGGTCTCAGAGCAGAGACAACCTACTGAGGCTGACCTTCTGGGCCAGGCTTCTACAGGCACAAGGCTTGCTCAAGAGGAGCAAGGACTGCAGCCCTCCCACCAACAGCAATACTGCTTGGCAGCAGCTAAAACCTGCAAGCATCTCCAGTGAAATATCCCAGGATTTTGGGATGCAGATCTCACGTTTCTTACTGCTACACATTGCATTGCCTCAATGGGTCTTGCTTCAATTCTGCTGGGATTCAGCTCATGCCTACCACCATCCAGAGCAGAACAAATGGTGCAAAAAGGTGATAGCACAAGGCAGGCCCTGGTCTGATGGATCATGGGTTTGGGCTGCTCATGAGACACATAGCTAAGCAAGCTCGTTTCCTGGAATTTCAGCAGCAGGAGAAGGAGATGTAAGAAGCAAAGGTTTGATAGTAGGAAAGTGTCGTTTGGATGGACTTACCTGATTTCATTCCTGTGATAGAAGAAACCACACCCAGTTTGCTAGGAACATAATGGGAGAAGCAGATTAGTAGAATCATAGAATCCTATCATAGAATGGTTCGGGCTGGAAGGGACCTTAAAGACCATCCAGTTCCAACCCCCCTGCCATGGGCAGGGGCACCCTCCCACTAGAGCAGGTTGCTCAAAGTCCCATCCAGCCTGGCCTTGAACACTTGCTGTAAGGCAGGTCACCATGATGAGTTGCAAACCTTCCATTTGCCCCCAGTCAACATCTAGGAGGGCAAGAGGTTCTGCAAAGACTTGACACTTTCTAGGCAAGGAAGACTTCCATGGGCTGTAAGCTGCTAGGGACTAGAGACAGTTTTTATCAGCTCCTTTCCCTGGTCCATCCAATTCCTTGTCTGTGAACAAACTACCTCTGATAAATAGAAAACTCTTAGAAGCAAAGCAAGGGCTGGAAAACATCTGAAAAGGAGATGACCCTGTAATATTTGCTTTCAGCTTCCTGGCCAAGGATATTAAAAATTAAGTAAGTCTTTGCTGTATTAATGGATGGAGATCCCATGTCATTAACAGGGCCCTTAGCCCTAGCTGACACAAGGAAACAGGCAGGTTAAGGTGATAAACCTGGAGGAAATCACGGACGATATTGCAAAGTTCAATGTACTGTCACGGACGCTTTGCAGTCTCCACAGTGGGTGGAAGAAGAGGACAGATGTTTGGACGTACCTGATCCTGTTGCCTGTGGGTTTGAGCCCACAGAGCCCGCAGAAGCTGGAGGGCAGGCGGATGCTGCCAGCTACATCCGACCCGATGCCCAGGATGGAGCCTCCTCCTGCGATCAGAGCTCCCTCCCCTCCCGAGGAGCCCCCGGGGCTCTTCTGGTGGTTGAGAGGGTTCAGTGTCTGGCCAAAGATGAGGTTGCTGCAGTCGTAGCTGGGGAGAGAAAGATCAGCAGGTGAGTGAGGTACTTCTGTCTCTGCAAACCATAAATACAGGGCACAGAGCATCCACCCAGGGATGAGTGTGGAATTAGTCCCAGCAGGTAGAATCAGCATGAAGTAGATTTGTTGGGACAGCTGGATTTATGAAGAAGGAGGTGTCAAATATGAGTGAAATGAGGAGGCAATTAACTCAACGTGCATGATTAGCATTGACAAGGGTGGGAGCTTGTGCATGCAGGTCCACCCTTTCTCAGATAGCAAAAGTCACATTTCATAGCATTTTCATGAGGGCAAACACATGATTACTTTATCATCGTCTGTGGGATGTTGGTTTTCACAAAGGGGATTGCCCCCTGGCTCTTTAGAACCTGGACAACGACGCTGTCTTCTTCTATCACTTGGCCCAGAAAGTTCACCATCCCTCCAGAGGAGACGTGGCCCTTGGGGATGGGAAGCAAAGCTCTTTAGGTACCAGGAAAGAAGCTGTTTGGAGCTGTGACAATAACAAACGTTAAGTCCTGATGCTTCCTGTAACAAAGTTCCCACCTAACTTTTCCCACAGGCAGAGAAGGCTCTGACTGCCCGAGGGAAAATCAAATCTGAGCAGGCTAGACATTTCTGCAGAAAACAAAATTTTCCATGAGAAGAAAGGCAAGTTTGCTGGTCCCACGAATATTTGGTCCAAAACATCCTTATCTGAGGAAACTCTTGGCCAAGCCTGATGAGGTGAAAAGGAACAAACTGTATCCCTTGTATAGGTGCAGAGGAGTACGGGACTGGGCATCCTGATCTGTTCCCAACCCCAAGACAAGGGGATGTCCCAAACCCCAAGGGGAATTAGGGATGTACCTTGACGTTAATGTGGTCCTTGATGCTGATGGGAATGCCATAGAGCAGCCCCTTCTCCTTCTGCTTCTTCAGTTTCTGGAGCTGATCCTCACAGCCATGAATGAAGTCTGTCACGCAGTTCACCTCCCGAGTCACCTCCAAAGCCTCTCCAGAGATGTCAGGTAAAGAGCAGCAAGACAGATGAACGGATGGAAGGAAGGAAACAGCGTTTAAATTAAGTTTGCAAGCTGAAAATCCAACCTCCTCAGACCTCCAGCATTCATTATTCAGGCCTTACCTATAAACTTTAGAAATTTCTTGCTGGGATAATTTTCTGCCCTGTATCTCTGTCCTACTCCCTCACCCATAAACCACCCTTCAGCCATCACAGTATTGCCAAGTCGTGATCCTCAGCACTGTTAGTTCTCTCTCAAAGAGATGTTTTTTTAATTTTAAAACCCCCACTGCAGGAGAGCCCCGCAGCACCTCTCCCATGCTGGAGGTATCACTCACTTTGCCCATGTAGGAGTAGAGGACACTCTCTGGGGACAGGGACCCCTCCTTTAGCTTCTCAGCCAGCTCCACCATCGTCAGCGAGAGGATGTGTGCGGTCTGGGTGCCCGGGTTCTGCAAAGGTTAGGAAATGGGGTGCAGAGGGAAGAAAATGCCAGAAAAAGCTGGTGTTGAGGCTGTGAGTACCCACTTCCAACACCTGCCCAGCAACGACCTTGAATGCAGAATTTTGGGAGAAGTTCCCTGTAGAAATGCAGACCTCCCACATAGCACTGCGTGTGCTGGAGTGGGGAATTTGCTGACGGGGAATTTGCTGAGCCTTGGTTCATAAAAACAGAACCAAAACGGGCAGAAAACTGCTTCTTGACTGGAGAGTTGCAAAAACCTGTAAGAGAGGTTTGACCTGTCTCTGTTTACTCTCTGCGGGCCTTCACCTCCCTCCTTACTCATAGACAGTGTGTTGAATAGCAGTTCAGCCAGCTAAAGTTTTACAAAATTTATCATTAACACAGGGAAAAAAAAAAAAAAAAAAAAAAAAAGATGGGCTGTTTGCAACCTCCCCTCCCCATAAAACAACAGCAATAGGTATTTATTCAGGTTTTAAGACAAATCCCAAATCCAAGGACCTGTCCTCCTAAAATCCAGGTGCTCCTTTACCTGGGTGTGGGCAGGAAGAAATGGCTTTTGGTCACCAATGTGCAGGTGCTGGAGGGATGTGAAGCCCCCCCTGTACTTTGAGGACAATGCGGCAGACAGGTCCCTGTGAAGGGGCAGAGGTGAGGAGGACAGGAGCAGAAGGTTTGGCAGTAGGGATGGATGAGGAGAAAATTGCATAGGGAGGTCTGAGATGGTTATCTCATCTGGAGGGTCTCAAACTCAAATCCATAATTCATCCTCAGGACTGTATTAAGAAATGCTGCTTTTATGCTGCCTTTACAACGGGGTTGGGGTAGGCTGGGTAACAATGGAGAGTGGTGATCCTCAATAGAATTGGTGATGACCCAAAATATGCATTTTGGATCCCAACCACCCAACCACCATTCAAAGATGGATTGATCAGGACTTCCCCCTTTTCTTGGTTATCCAAAAATACAATCCCCCCCCATACACACACTTTTCCCTAAATTACCTCTTGCTTAAACCTGCGAGCTGCCCTCTCCATTCGCTCCAGGGCAAGATCCCGTGTCCTCCTTGCCTCCTCCATCTTCTGCTGGATCTTCCTACGTCCCAGCCATTTCAGTAGCACAATGGCTGCAGTTGAGCCGCAGAGCAGAGCTGAGAGGGTGCGAGGGTCTGCCCAGGATGTATCTAGAACCTGCCACAGTCGCTCTTGGATCATGATTTCTCCCCCAGTCCTTCCTGTTCTGGTCAGCTTATGGACACCTGGGTCTCCCACCTTCTCCTAAGGAGGGCTGACGAATGCAGACTGTGCCTGCTGTGCAAGACCAGTTCTGAGGCAGAATTGCATTAACAAAGTCCAGGAATGGAATTTTTAGACCGTGGACTTTGAAAGGGTCTGCCTGCCCGGGAAGCACTGTGGGTCAGGCTGCAAAGCAGAGTGCTCAGCTCACACTGGGTCTGGGGGGGTATCCCCCCAAGGCTGTGTCTTTCCAGGCCACTGCCTGCTGCTGCACATGGCTACACAGAGCTGAATGCCTGCAAAGCCCAGGTCTGGGCTATCCCCACTATATCCATGTCTAATAATTAATTAAGAGTTAATCCCATTAACTAGAGGTGCTCAGCCATTGTCTCTGTGCCCTGGACACCAGCGTGTGCAGCCCTCAGAGCCTGGGACAACACAGCTCTGCTTCTCCTGGGGAACCTGGTGCAGGGGGTGAAATTGCACCTATTGGAGAGGGGGGAACTCAGGAGAACCAAGAACACAAAGGTGAAGTAGGATACAGTGACTCTGGAAAGGCAGTATACAAGGACCTAGTTGAAGGTGTCTTTGAGGAATATGACTTCTCTGTGTCATTTTCAAGCCAAGTCCCCTTGAAAAGCATTTTGGGAAATCCTTTCTGATGGAACCAGTATCCAATCTTCTCTCCAGTTTCTAAGCCATCTTCCAGACAACACAAAGCTGGACTATGCAGCCTTGCCAGCCAGGGGAGCTGCCCCTTGCCACAGTGCTCCCTGCCCATGGGACTGTCCCCAAGAGTGCAGAAAGGAGGGGCTGAGAAAATGAAATTTCTGTCAGACTTCAAGGGTCTGAAAATCCGTGGGGAAGAAACAGGAGATGTCTCTGAAAATTCATTGCCAAGATGCAAGGATATCTGGAGAGCTGCTGGCTCTACCCCAAGTGGAGAAGCAGAGCTTGCAAGGAGGTTTCAACCAGGGTAATCCTTGCTCTCTGATGGAGAAATCTCATCTGGGGGGTCAAAAGCCAGCAATCGTGCTGCTATCGTGTTACCTTGCCATGTTACAGACACATCCCATGGGATTATTCCTGTGGCAGCAGGGAGGGAACTCAGGGAAGAGGTAAGACCTCATAGAGAAATTGGTTGCTGACTTGAAAGGCGCAGAGGATCCTCTCTATTTAGCCAGGACAGAGAGAACAAAAAGAGCCAAACAACTCAATGTGGATGCCACCAACCCCTTCCCCCTGACTATAGGGGTCTGGCCTTCATTGCCCTATCCCAGCCTTAAGCTTCAGTGCTGTGGTTCACATTG